AAAAATGCACATGGAATCTCCCTTTACTTAGCTCCTGAGGCCAATGAAAGCTTGGGGCTTCTCTTGAGCTGAAGATCTGAGGCTGCAAAGCAAAAGGATTGCTGAGAACAATTACAAAGCACCTGAGAAAGGAAGCTGAATACAATCTATGAAAGGAAAATGAATACTACAATCAATTACAAAAGATCCCTCACCAGGAATCCAGATTTGTTTTGGTGATAGTTTATTATAGAGGTCTCCCTGTTTGTTTGAGGGGGGGGGGGACCCCCCTTTACTAATCAGGATCCAACATTGATCCCTTCATGAATTCTCCACGTCTGGCGGATAATGACGCGCTTTTTTCCACCATTTTTGTTTGGGAGTTGAATCCTGGTCGGTGATATATCTCATCCCGTTTCACCTGTCCAACGTTGGATGCAGTGGATCACCGGTCCCTTCCGAAGAACGGGACTACGGATGTGGATGGCGTAGACCCGGATACGGGTGGGATCATGGCCCAATATAAAACAGGTGGTGAACTCTAGATCCATGGGTTGTGTTCAGGGTGCTTTCAGGGAGTGTAGGTCAGCTGCTCCTGCGGTTTACAACTCACTGGGGTGGAGTCGATACAGACACCTAAAGTCCTAAAGCCTCCATGTGGCAGCGATGCTTCCGACGAATGCCGTGTCGGCTCTTCGCCTTGGGTGGCTTTGAAAGTCTGTGTGGGTTGTTTTCGCCACTCGCCACCCCACATGAACACATGAAACACAGAACTCCAGGTCAAAGGTCTCGAGGAAGTCTTCTCACCCCAACACCCAGGTGCTGAACTATACCACCGTTGCAGGAAACGCATGGATGAGATATCAGTCCCCAAGAAACCGGGTGACGCGTGTAGGCTTGAACGGTTCCAAACCCCACAGACGCGCCCAGGTCGCTGCGAGCTCTCCTTGAAGCTTTCAGTCTTAAGTCGCCAGCTCCTCATTTGGCTCTGGCAGCAGTGACAAAAAGCCGTCACAACATGTAAGAGATCAAAAGGATGCAGGCTAAGTCTGCCAGGTGTGCTTGCCCTCCAAGAAGTGCATACTTTGCCGGAATGATTCTGATGACTTCATCCACTTCATAGTAGCATATAGTTTAGAGTCCCCCCCTGCCCACTAACAGCTCCACAATGGAGCTCACTCTTGCTGAGCTGGGGGGTAGTTGAACATAGTAGCTCTCTCCGCTCTCTCTAGGATGTCTCAAAAGGCATTCCTACTCGCATCTGCGACTCCGAGCCATCCATGTGATCATGGCAAAACGACCGGCAGGACCGGCCACAAGTTCTGTTCCCCACTGAGCACCGGTCCCGCCGAACGCCCAAGTGGCTGATTCGGCTGTGGCTCTGAGCCATGTGCCACCAGCAGGTGGAGCTCATAGAGACGCCCCGGCCAAAAGTGACCGCCCTGGTGCAGCTCCACCAGCAAACGACTGGAAGAGGAGCCTCCTGGCGAGGTTGGTCAAATTCCCCCTCACGTGGGAGGGATGTTCTGCTCCCCCAGTGTGGAAGCGTCCCCAGCTTTGGCGTTGGGCGTTGCGGGGGGTTGGAGGAAGTGAAAATATCCTAGACCACCTCAGCTGAGTTCGAAAAGATTCAGTACTTCAAGTTGCTTCAAGCATCTTCGGGCTCAAAAAGAATGTGAGCACTGCTGTCTAAAGCGAGAAGAACTTGGCCGGCTGGGAATGGAAGACATCTGATAATCCACCTTGGCATGGATCAAGGTATATGAAACCCTACAAATGGTGGAGGGTTATGCAGAATGCACCAGCGTACTCGATGTGAGGTGCAAAGGTGTTTTTTTCTTGGATTTGCTTGCGTCATCGGGAAGCATGTTCCCTAGAAGGGGATTCGCCCATAGGCCCCGCCAACCCAAGTGGTGCTGTCCGAGGGCAAGTTTGAGTTTGCAGGCACTCAGCTGAATGGACTACAGCCTTCCAACGTGGTCTCGCATTCGCTGCACGGCATGTGGTCCTTCCGGAGTCTCTGCCCGGCAGGTCCTTGGCTTGCAAAGTTGGTAGCAACTTTAAGAGCGAGACCCACAATCAATGAGTTTTAGTCTATGTTCCTTCTTCCAGGGTGTCTTTTTCTCCCTGTTTGAGAACACACCCATGTGTGTGTGATTCATCCAACCTGTCAGATCTGTTCCCCCCACATGCCAAGGGAAACCTGGGCCAAGGGTGTTCATCTAATATTGGAGTGAAAACTCATTGCAACTCTTCGCCAAGAAGGATAAACCCCACATGATGACCCCCACATGCCACACCAAAGGACTAAACTCCTTGACCAACTGCTCCCTAATGTGCCTGCCATGCTACCAGGAGTGAAGGCCATGATCAATACAAGCTTTCAGACATGGACACCAGAGATTTTGGTGCCTCCATCTGCTGAATCCAAATCAGCTTCCCTCACTGCTTCCCTCCTGCCATGCCCTGCCGCTTTTCAGGTCTCCAAGGCTCAAGTCCTCTGTCCGCACCCGAAAGCGACAGCGCAAGTGCGTTCCAGACCGGTCAGGGACCGCCAAGTACTCTGCAGGACAGGGCCTGGTCGGCCGCTTCGTCCAACCAGTTCAGCACTCAACTCACTTGCCAGGTGAACTCACTCGCCAGGTGATCCATATTGGTCACTCACCAGTTCCATGCTGGTCAGCTTGTGAGTTCTCCCTTTTTCACAGAGCTGATCAACATGGAACTGGAGGGCCAAAACGGGCATGGCTTGTTGGCTTCAAAGAATGCTAGGCAAAGTCTCACAGCAAGCGTGGATCGCGTATCATGATCATGATCGTCGTTATTTATATATATTTTTTTTTATTTATAAAATATCAGGAGGGGCAAAGTCATCACTACTATTACTACTGATGCATATTTCATCACTGATCAACTTCCTGCATTAACACGTTTCCTGGGATGAAGTGCAACTAGCTGGTGCTGCCAGGGCACAGGCTCTCGCCACAGTCCTGGTTGCGGAGGTTGTGATGATGACAGCCCTTTGGCTCCAACGACCACTCCGTTGAACCAAGCCAAGCCTACCCCAAATCGATGTTCGAGTCAGGGGAGATGAAGTCTTCCGGAGCCGGGAAGAAGCAAGTTGCTGGCCCAAAAATAAGAAGGGTGAAGCCCTCATGAATGTGACTATGGGAAGCCGTGCTCTTACACCCTCTCTTCTCCAAGACCCGTTGGCAGGACAACTTCCAATGCAGCATTTCAGGGAAAACTACATGGAATGGTAATGCAATAAGTTATACATCTGCCTTCAAGATGATCATTCTCCACCAGTGGACAGGTCTAACTTACACAGAATTCTGGTCTGGTCGCTGTTTTGAGCGATATGCTGCGATGCTCAGCTCTTGGTGTTTCAACGAGCTCTGGAGCTGCTCAGCTCCTCATCGCTTCGAAGAAAAAAAGCCAAGCCAAGTGTCGCTGGTCCAGGCGCACCAGCTGAGTTGACGCTTGAGGCAAGCCTCGCAGGGGCCTTCCGCCTCCAGCAAACTGCAGGTCCTTAGAAGGACGGACGGTCCAGACCGGGCACAACTCCAGCAGTTGGGTCGATCTACACTGGTTGCATGGAAAGCAAGAAAAGTCGAAGACAAACAGTACGTATATTGGGGATCTCAGGTTTCCAACATATGCACTTCCAAAAATGTGACAGTCCAAGCCAACCCCACAAAATGCTGCAGTCAAAACAGACCCACCGCAAGATGCTGGTGCAACGGGCACTGTGGTCACCCGTTGTTGGAAGCATCTCACCGACTAGGACTTCCTTCCCAACTGGGAGGGGCTAAGCCGCTAAGGAACTAAATCCCCAAATACCCCAAGAACACATCGAATCCCTATGGATCCACTGCCACCTTCTCCAAACACCGTACCTCAGGTTCGGTCTGTGGATCCATAGGGTGTAATGATAGCTTATGATACGTCATGCTGAGTCATGCTATATGATATTGTAGTAACTGTAGTATATTGATTTAGTCCAGCCAGGCGTCCCGTCGAGCGTGAAGTTCGGAGACTCGAGCACCTCGGGTCTGCCAAGCACACGTCCGGTCGGTCGGTCGGACCGGTGGGGTGAGCTGGTGGGTTGGGGTGGGTTGGGGTGGGTTTGTTACTTTGCACCTGGGATGCCTCGGTCTTTCGGTATCCAAAAATGGAAGGGTTAAAGGCCTTGAAACCAGGGAGTATCTACAGGAAACCAGGGCGATTCACATCTCCGAAACGACGCATGGTGAAATGACTCGTCCCTTAAAATCCTCGAAACCAATGCTGGGAAGATCGGAGAAGCCCCGCCTGGGAGGGTTGGATGTGAATGGTATAACGGTTGACCATCTGAGTGCACTTTGCAGCAAATGCGCATCACTATAGTTACCACCCCATTGCAATGAAACTGGTTTCTGGGGGTGTCAAGTATCCAAAGTGACCCCCGCAACAAAGAACACTAGAACATACTAGAACATGGAGCTCATTAGACCTGACCCCACCCCAAAAAATTACACGAAAAGGTACTGGTTGGTGCCAACCCCATACACCACAACAGCAGCGACAACACTTCGCACCCCCTGTAGGCCGTCTCGCCACCAGCCGTTCCGCCACATAGGAGACACCAAAGGCTACCAGCACCGGCGTGGCCACGTGTGCGGAGTTCGGCGCGGTTCGGCGCGTGGGGAGGAGCGGTGTCAGCTGAAGGGAGTGGAGCAGCTGAAAGCGGGGCCCCTGCAGCGGCAAGCTGGCCTCGTCACCTGAGATCGAATGGTTAAGCAGCTGGGTTTTCGAGACTCTGGGGTTTTCTCAGCTGTCTCAGCTGGTCAAGTGACCTCTGCGAGCCGACTCCAGCTGCTGCATCCATCCAGCTACCACTAGTGCTGTGGGAAAGAGGCTTTGTGGGGTTGGAGCCACCGAGTGTGCGGACCGAGTGCGCCTGTGACTCAACATGCCTCTCACTCCTTCTTGTAGTAGCTATACTATACTATGTGCAGCTCCGCCAACAAAGGTTGATGCTGCTTACGGCTTTGGCTCAACATCGCGATGCAGATTGTACCTGTCGATATACCACTCTCAGCGGAACTAGGACGTCTTTAAGAGATTTCAGGACATGTCTACTGACACTCAGGCTCCAACCACATCCTAAGAAGGTAGCTAGACCGACCCCCTAGCATCCACCCCAACACAGGCACCATCACTGGCACCATCACTCAACCTCTGCCCGACACCCCCAGCCGACTCTCCAGAATATGCCTTATAGATCCATTTAGGACATGGCCTTCCCTCAAAAGGGAGGACAAAACTGGCAAAACACATTCCAAACCACAAGCCCGTTCGTGGGAGGCCTTGACCAATCCACCTCAAAGGCTTCTTTTAAGACTGAGGCTAAGTGGTGGGACTCGTTCCATTTCCAAGCTGATCACTGGATTTCATTGGGCTGAGCTCATCAAGCTTGAAGCTCCGAGCTAAGTCGAGGTGCCCAGCTCGAAGTACCAAAGGTTGGTCATCTGCAGCACCTGAGCTCGTCCCAAAGCTCAACTCGGTCTTCGAGCTGAACATGTTGTAGTGATCAAAGAGTCGGGGTCGAACCCGCCAGCTTTGAGGGATTGGTTTGGGATTGCTTAAGGATCTTCTGCGGGAAAGATTCAACAGCCTATTGGCTGAGTTTCTTTCCAACAAATCCGGAAACATTCACGGAGACAAATTGCCGGCAATCCAAGTGGAGGTGAAACAGTGACATTATCAGCTGAATCCACTCTGATTGGTGCCATCTACTCTGCAAGTAGATGCGTGCCACAAAGAGTATCTTCACCCAGAGTCGAACTATGATGAACTATGCATATCAAACAAGGTAACACGAGTCAGCCCGATGACATGTTTCTACAATTTCTGTGGTTTTGACATGAAGCAACTTTTTTTTTATATTGGTGCATACATGTATAATATACATGTTACAAAATCATCCCAATACACGGTACTATACATGGTATATTTGAGAAATGAAGCACATTGCCCATAGGTTTACCCCCCAAGATGCGGCCCCCATCCATCCACTAAAACCCCAACCACCAAATTGTGGAGGACATGTTCATTTGGGATACGGTTGCAGGGAACTATTGGAAATCCTTGGAGGACAACCTCCACTAGGACCAATTGACATCCTACAAAGGCAGCCACGGCACCACCTCGAGGGGTGGGTTGTCAAAGGCCAACTGCAGCACATACCTCAGGTACTATGCATGAGTGCATCATCTGGGCACCGCATGGCACCAGCAGCAGCTGGTTTTGACATGTTTTGCACTCCCTGCTGATTTCTGAAATCATCATGGAATTGGAAGAAAAAACACCTGAGAGTGCTTTTGTTATTCCTTTCGCGGCTTCCATGTGACTTTGTGAATGCACACCACGACCAGCAACAAACTGAACTTCAATCATCCGAGATGCATCACCTCTGCCTCCATCGCGGCCATCACGTCCACCAGCGCCTCGCGCCCCGCGCCCGCGCAGCGCACCGGCGTCGCCGCAGTGGCATCAGTGGCCGGGGCCCAGGCGGCAGTGCAGGTGTCGAGTGAGATGCCCCGCGGGGCGCGAAGGAGCAGCTGCAAAGGGGGCGAAGGCCTCTCCTCAGCAAGGGTGATGATGCACATCAAGTAAGAGTGAATCCAGTGATGCGGCGATAATAGTCATACTGTGACATGCGTTAGATAAATCAATATTGTGAGTCATGATGTGTGGTGTGAATATACTAATATAGTGAGTGGCCTGGTGTTGAAGAGAAGACATTGAGAACAACGCAAAACACCACAACGTGCAGGTGCCCTGCATAGTCCATCAACAGCCGAAACGTCGATGGTGAAATCAAACCCTTGCAAGTCCTGTCATGTCCGCTGAAGTCTGCACACGCATCCGGGTCATGGGAGACATCCTGAATCCTCCAGGTTATAGAGGTTAACGTGCCTCATCAGTTGAACTAATTATGATCCGCCTGCTCCATCCAACCCTTGCCAATCTCACCCCATCGAACCCATAATTAAAGCTTTTCGAGCCTCATCCCAACATGATATGACCGCCCCTTTCCGCTATTGTTCGCTCCCTTCAACCCCCACATCCTCCATCCACCTCACAGGCTCCGCTGGCACCACTTCCACCTCGATCCGATTCCGCGCGCCCGGGCGACCGCTGTAGCTGGCGCGGAGCCCGGGCTCAGGGGGTGGGCGGAGGAGCGTGGAGAGGGGACGGCGCAAAGGGCAGCCGCTGGCGTAGGCCTAAGGGAGGTGAAGTGGAGATAGCGGGAGAAAAGGCCTGGTAGAAAAAGCAAAGGTTCTTCTCAATTGGTCGCAGGAAAAGTTAAACCTTTGAATAATAAAGGCTACTGTAAGGGCTGTATAACTCTATAATCTATAATATATGATTTGTCCTGTTTACAAGTAACTTGTTTAAGTGATTATAAGTGTATGACTGCTTTAGAAGTGTATAACGGTCTCCAATATGATTTGTCCTCTTGGACTTCTTATCAACACTCCCAAGATCATGATAGGTTCGACCCTTCGACCTAGGCAAGGCCCCTAAGGTCACCAGGGGAAGAGACCCCACATGGAACCTGAAAAACCATGTCGGACATCAGGTTCCATGTGGTCCTTTTTCGGGAGTCTATGTATACTTAGTTGAGGTTTCTGTGCTGCCATCCTTTGCCTGGCGCACAGGACTCACTGAGTGGACGTGGTGACGTGAGAATGACCACAGGTCCAACTCCCCCGACGCCACACATGTGAGCGGGACGTTCTAGAATATATGGCCAAAGGAATTGCAAAAAAGTGGCAGTCATTCTTACATATGACTTTGAGGCTCCTTTCATCTCCTTTTGAGCACGCTTCAGGCTTCCTTCCCTCCTTCCCCTTCTTGAAGCACTTCCACCCACCTTGCCTAACCCCACCCCGAACCCGCTGCTCCAAGCGGCTGGCAGCACCGTCGGCTCCGGTGCCCAAATCTGCCAGCTCCACGTTGCTGCTCCGGCCGTTCCACTCGGGTTCCGTGCCAAGAGCTCCACGGCCCAACGATGGCTCGGCTGGGAGGTGACGAAGGTGAAGCGCACACGTGGTAGACCACTAGGTCCTGACTGGCTGACTCCGTGGCTGATTGAGGAGTTGTAGTAGTCACGGAAGCGGCAAACCACCACTGTTTGTAAAGGACAATGGTCTTCCAGGGGGCCGTTTTCCACTTCCATGATTAATTTTAGGGAGTGCACCGTTTGGTGCAAACAATTTTTGAGGTTCTTGAAACGTCCTCCCGATTTCACCTGTTGCGGTGACCCAGCTAGAATCGCAACCTTTAAGTAATTCCGGAATCTACAGTACAGTATCCCTAAAACAGAGGATCCTGGATCTCCCAACTGTGACAGATTTCTTGCTCTTCATCCATCAAAAAAAACAAAAGGCAGAAATGATGCGCAGCCCTTCAGAGAGGGAAGAAGCAAAGTATACAATTTCGGAATCTACCTTATCCCTCAAAACATATAGTGATCCAAATAAATATAAACGGTTTCCAATACATCTTTAGTGAGGATCTACGAACTTCTATCCATTCGGGGGTCTATTCAACACAGTCTAATCTTCTGCCTTGAAGGAATTCTCAGAGATGAACTTTATCATGGCAATGCTTCTTTCGCTCGTTCAAACATATTCACCGTGGGTTGAGTCAATGGCCGGTGGGTTTCACGTGGTTTCACCGGGCGGTTTTTCCGGGTTGAGTCACCTCATGCGCGGCGAAATCATTGAAACCTCACCCCAACATCAAGGCAGTTTGGACTGGACATGTGCCAAAGCTCCTCTAAAGATCTTCAGACTGCGAATGAGAGGCTGACGGAAGGCTTTCTTGCAGCATATGCACCTTTTTGTTGTTGATGCTATATGCCAATGCTGCTTGTGGCTACCTTCAGCTGCCCAATTCTCACAGCAGCCAAGCAGCCCTCAGATGCCTGGCACTCTGTGTCCTCTGGGAAGGGCTGCTCGCTATCATACAGGTCCAAGGGTGCTCGCCAAAGGCAGCTGGATTGGAAGCCTCATGGCTGGGACAACTTGGAGCGAAGCACAAAGTAGTTCATAGCCCAACGCTTCATGTATGGAGTATTTATATACATTTTTACATTGGGGTGGTTTCAGGGGTGAATGTAGGTAACTATGCGAGTCCCATGGATTGTCTCCAAATGCCTTTCGCTTGGTTGAGCTTCACTCTTTTGCGTTCAAATGATGACAGCTGGACCGAGCATGGCTTCTTGCTCATGTCCTAACATCATGGAAGTGCAAAATGATCCCCTGGAAGATGCTTTCTTTACAAAGTGGAGGTTATCCACTTCCATGTGATGAGTTCGTCTGAGTGTCTTCTTTTCAATGCTTGGACTCTCACATGGGACCGATGCGCCACTTACGCTGACACTTGAATTTGCTTATATACAGTACGGCTCAGTATATCAGGGGAACTGAAAAAAAAAAAAAACTATCTATGAACTAAAAGAACTTCTCATCCATTTATATATGAAGAATCAAACCAACACCTAAGAACAACCACCGTCTCGGTGCCCCGCCGTGCCACGACCACCACAGGTCCAGTCCCAGGCGCCGAAGCCGCGGGCGGCCTCATCGCCCAGCAACTCCAGCTGAGCGCCGGCGGAGAGCGAGGGCAACCGCGCACTGAAACCTGGGGTGCGTTTTGGGACCGACGTCCGAGCCAGGAGGTCCTTGGAAAATAGACAGAATTTTATATCTGCCAGGACCTTCCAAGGTTGAACCCTAACAGCTTGTGTCTGGGCACCTCTTGTCACCAGGAAACACCTCTTGAAGGGTCCAGCGTATATATAATATATACTGCATATATTTAAATAGCATGAAGGTGAAGCGAACTTTCCACCTGTCCGTTTTGAGTGGGGTTTTCCCCCAATCGTCATCCACTGATTGGGTAGGGTGGCACTCAAATGTTGGCGCCGAGAAGTATGTTGCTGTGGGAAGAAGCCCTCTGGAAGAGGACAAGGATGGACAAGGGCATGCAGCTTCAGGATATTTTGTATGCCAGCTGGTGCAGGAGTGAGTTCAAATCCATCATCAGTTCATGCGCCTTTACCAGGATCACTTACCCACCGATGTGTGAAAGCTCATTTGCCAAGCCGATCCCAACAATAGACACAACTGCCAAAGACTGAATAACTTCTCCCCCACCCTTCAGCCCATTGCAGTGCTGTCCATGTTCTGCCTAGGCACGTAGGTAGTTCCCCTCGTAGCCCACCACAGGGCAGGAACAGGTCACTGAGGTTTCAGCAATTGCTTGGATGGCAAAAGGCCCACCTGCGCAGCGTCTGAAGCTCAAAAGGGCATCTCAGCGCATCCTCATTCCGAATTAGAAATACCAAAATTTCAGAGGTTCGATGGCACAAACCCCTACATGCCCTTAGATGGGGGTCCATATGGGCCCATACTTGGGCCCATATAAATCACCAAACTTGGGGGTTGTGCCATCTACTCTGAAACCACTCAAAAAAGTATTGGGATATCCAAGCACCACACCAAACACCTTGCATCTTTGGAGTTAGTTTCTCGTATGCCGACTTCCTCCAGCAGGGGTTACTAGATCATTCTATATGATAGGAACTACAACTAGTCTGGCAACTTTTCGTGCCATTTGCCTGGCACATTTGGAGGACCCAAGTTGCTACTCCAAAAGAGCAACACGATCAAAGAGCTGTCACAACTGCTGGTCCTTTGGACTAGAAGTACGAGGTTCCTGGTGAAATCTTACGGATTGAGCACATCGAGAGTAGATGGCACAATCCCCAACAGGTGCTTTAATGTGGTTTGAACCCCATCGAACAGTCACCTTGGGGTTGGTGCCATCTATATATTTACTCTGAAACCACTGTATCTCTGTAGGCTAACATAGACAGCACGGGCAACCCGGCCGGCCGGCCAAGTACTAGTAGTAGTAGTAGTAGTAGTGGTGGTAGTAGTAGTAGTAGTCGTAGTCGTAGTCGTAGTAGTAGTAGTAGTAGTAGGTGGTAGTAGTAGTAGTAGTAGTGGTAGTAGTGGTAGTAGTAGTAGTAGTGGTAGAAGTAGTAGTAGTAGTAGTGGCCGACGGTCGTTGATCAGCCGGCCGGCCGGCCGGCTGGGCTGTGGATCTTGGCCGGCTGGCTGGACCGTGGATCTTGGCCGGCCGGCGGGACTGTGGATCTTGGCCGGCCGGCCGGCCGGCCAGCTGGACCGTGATTCTTGGCCGGCCGGCCGGCCGGCTGGCTGATCGAGAAATAGCGGGCCGCGATAAGCTCGCAATGTAATATAGTCTATACTAGACTCTATATATCATACGTCCGCCCTCCCTGCTGCCCTCCGCGAGCTCTCCCTCCGCGACCTGGCGGCGCGTCGTTCCGCGCCACCGCCGCCGCCGCCCAGTGCTGGTCGAAGCCCAGCTCGATGAAGAAGGCGTTGGCACCCAGCAAGGGCAAACGTTCCTGGGCGCTCACGGTGTGGCGTTGTGCAGGATGAGTGCGTGCAGTCACGGTGCGGCCAAAGGTTTGATGGTGCCTAATCTGTTAGATGGTGTTAGGTGTTTGTTAGTAGTATTGCCACTGGAGGTGGGTCTGTTCCGGGCAGTTGCAAACAGTTCTCCGGCGTATGACTACTATAGCCACTGAAACAGTCAGTGGGGCAATATGTCAAGGTGCAGTTCGACAAACAGAAATGGCTATGTCAACTGAAAGACTGCCTAATTACAGTATGTATAGGAACTATGGAAAAAGGTGCCCTTCAACATGCGCTTGATTTATTTAAACAGAAGCATCATGTGGCCATTGCTGTGCATAGACTTATACGAACACTCTAGTCACTAGTCAACAATACTGAAAGAACAAACATCTGCACCACCTGTAGCTCCCCCAACACCAAATGTTGTGGTCACGAGTTCCTCCACCAGGTGCAGGAATTGCTCCACCAGGAACTTGGAGTTTCTCCAGTTTCTCCCGGCAAGTCGGTCATGCTGCCCTGGCTGTTGCTGAGTCACTGGCACTTGGATCTCCAAGTCCAAGCTGAAGGTCACCCCAGCTTCTACTGTGATAACTGCCCAGCGAATGTCGTTGTCCACCGCCTTACCTCAGTGAGGACTAATGAATCGCCGTTTCGCGGGATTATGATGCTAGGCTAGGGTATATAATGGTCTGGGTATAGCAAGACCATGAAGGGATTCATAAAGCGCAAACATTCTCAGTTGTCTGCGTTGTTGCGGGTTTTGATGACTTCCATACGTCTCCATCTTGCCTGAAGTGGTTGTGAGACCTCCAGTGCCCAGTGTTGAGGGAGTATCACATCTTACCCCCTAAGTTCTGAAGATTGGCTTTCAAACAGCCCTAATAGGCATGATTCATGATCTAAATATGTTTCACCCTGATGTCGTGGGGGTTGTACATCAAACGTGTCCCAAACCGCTTCCTGGGTGACGCATTGGACCCAAAGCTCGGTGGTTTCATGGCGCGGACGCGTCTGCCTTTTGGGCGGCGGGGAAGCGCTTTGCGAAGTAAGTTTCAGTATAGGCCATGGCGTGTGGAAGCAAACGTATCTCATTTCTCGCTGAAAGCACCCTGAGGCGCTTGGCCAGGCGATTGTAACTGTAAGAGAGAGTGCGAGGATAACTGCCAATGAGGGTTGCAGCTTCTGATCCGGACATCACTCTCTTTAGCAATGCGTGTTTTGGTTTCAAGTTTTGTTCCATTCTGTAGCCGAGGATTGGAGGGAATGCGGACACTGCATCCACAACTTGAACTTTGCTTAGGCCCAAGTCCAAAAGCCATCGCCGGACCGGCTGCAAGTTCTTCTTGATACCGGCACCCAAGGTCCAGGTGTAGGTAGCCACAACCTTTGCAAGCTGATACTTGCTGAGCCCTGTGTCCAAGAGCCACTGAACTGTCGGCTTAAGATCTTGCTCAATGCTGTAGCCCAGAATTGGAGGAAAAGTTGCTATTGCCTTCGCGACTTGAGCCTTGCTGAGCCCTGTGTCCAAGAGCCACTGAACTGTCGGCTTAAGATTCTGCTCAATGCTGTAGCCCAGAATTGGAGGAGAAGTTGCTATTGCCTTCGCAACTTGAGCCTTGCTGAGCCCTGTGTCCAAGAGCCACTGAACTGTCGGCTTAAGATTTTGCTCAATGCTGTAGCCCAGAATTGGAGGAGAAGTTGCTATTGCCTTCGCGACTTGAGCCTTGCTGAGCCCTGTGTCCAAGAGCCACTGAACTGTCGGCTTAAGATTTTG